ATTAAAAGGGGAATACTGTATTTATATACATACATAGTACATTCCTACACACTGCCTTTACACATTTTGTTCCGAGTATCTCGAACAACTCGATTACTAGCGGGCTATAATTCACGCTGGCATTTAGCTACCATTAATATTACTTAATATAATTTTATTACTGCTTTAACTTGTCGGCATGATTCATATATCCGTACACTAGTATGTATTTCAATCAATGTTAATTAGTAACCATAAATTTTAAGTTGGATTTAATTAGATTATCAGGTTGCTAAAAGCAAGCGAACGGTACAATGTTACGCAACGACTTAAGCAACTGACTGACTGCGTCTGCGCAGCGCCAGGTTGGAGTTTACATATATAATTGCATACATACATAAATACACTACTGCCTATGCACATCTGTACATACATACGAATATGTTTGTTGGCCTACGGCTCGGAAGCGGCGTGAGAATTTATGAGGCGATCACATTTATACATACATAGTGCCACAGCAAATTTGCATATGAATGTGAGTGGATGTGTGTACATATGTATGTATGTGTATTGCATACAATGTATGCATGCACTAAAAAACTAACTGCCGGTGAGCGATTTAAGGTGTTGCACATGCGCAACACGTATAAGTGGCTGGCTAAAGTGGCTGCCGGTTAGCTGCCACTTTGTAAATGTTGCTGCTGTAATTTAAATGGAGCGAACAAACGACTTAGAACAAAATAGAATTAGTAAATTAAAATTCCCGTACGTGCGAAGATTACTATATACACACACATACATATGGATGTATGTATGAATACTTGTGAATGCTCTTGGCTAAGCAAGTGCACAAGTGATGCGAGTTCAATGCCCGTTGGATGACGTTTTTCGCAACTAAGCTTCTCTTAGATTTTCGTTTCATTCAAGTCATATTTATAAAAATTTCTAGTTGCCGTGCAAATTGTTTGTATGTCTAACTGAACAACTGGTGGGTTGATTGAATTTACGTAATTATAGCTTAAGCCAAGCCACCAAGCAGCGGAACGTAGAACACAAAGATAGCTATTTACTCTTACATACATATGTATGCATATTAGGGTGGTCCAAAAACAGTAAAGTCGGAATTGTAATGCTCTCACCCCCTAGGATTTTTCTATATCGAAAAAAAGTATACCCCTATTTTTTTATTTTGAAATCAAAAAATATTTGAAGGTCTCTCAAAGCGCTCAAAATTTTCAATGTATTTTTATATGGGAAAAATAAAACTTTTCGTAGAACTGGTATAAAATTCTTGAAAATCAATACTTTTCGATCGCAAAACTCTCGTTCTCTTCAGGAGACTTTCACAAATATTACCCAATTGTTTATTTAACCATTTTTTAATACTAACGATTTTTCATTGGTCGCCCCATTGCATTTTTCGGGGTTTTTGTAGGTTTTTGGCGGACCTATAAATTAAATATAGTTGCGATGAAAAAATGGTTAAGTAAACAATTGGGTATTATTATTATTGGGAATCTCCTGCAGATAAACAGAGTTTTCTGGTAGAAAAATATTGATTTTTAACTATTCTATACCATGTCTACGAAAAATTGTTTTTTCTCCATATAAAATACATGGAAAATCTTGGGCGCTTTGAGCGACCTCTAAATATTTTTTGATTTCAAAAAAAAAAATTATAATAAGGGTATACTTTTTTTCGGTATAAAACCATCCTAGGGGGTGAGAGCATACAAATTCCGACTTTACTTTTTCTACATGCATTTTGGGCCACCCTAATGTACATACGAGTAGCAGATGGAGCTAGAGATGGATACGTGCATGCACACATGCATGTAAGCTCATATTTGTGTATACGTAGCTCCAATTATAAGACTCACAACCCGGTTAACAGGCATCTACAAATAGCAAACTGTAGGAGAACAACAGCAGCATGCCGGTTGGTTATTGTCGTCACAGTTGTTGCCGCCACCTCATTGATGTGCTACCTTTTTGTTCTTGACTTCATTCAACAAAAACTGCATTGTTATTGTTGCTGTTTTTGCTGCTTTTGGGGCGTGGCCCATTACCGTTAATTTGCCCTGTTATTGTGTTACTCTATTTTATACATAGTAATTTGCTGTTGTTCGAAAAGCAAAAAAAAAACAAAGCAGCATTTCATTCATAAAATCGAAAGCCAATTTATATACATACATACATACAGACGAACATATTCGTATAATTAGCAACACAAAAGCAGTTGTCTGACATGCTAAGTAAGCTAGGGAAGCTAAATAGGTAAGAATGCTTTTGACTTTGTTTGTGTTGCCGTTTAAAAACGTGGCTTTAATAACATTAATTTTACGAAATTAGTTCTGCGATACAAAGAAAATTGCGAAACAAAGGATTAGGCGGGGAACAATGAAAGAACATATTCCCAAATTGAATGACCTATTCATATGGGCTAGATATTAGACCATTTATCTTTGTTAATAATATTATTTACGAGTAATAAATTTGAAAAAATATTCATTAGTTGCAACACACTTCATGAAATTTATCAAGAAAAAATTACTGCTCACCAACATCGAAGCGAACCTACCTTTAGAGCAGTGATTCCCAAAGTGGTCCAGGTGGACCCCCAGGGGTGGAACATTGGTGGAGGGAAAGGAGTTTACGTGTCTGCAGTGACAACTAAGCTGCACTTAAGGCATTCGCCAGTCCTCTAACTACTCCCCAACTAGCTCGGCAATGCAAGTATCGACTAAATTATGATGGGAAACATAACGAGCTTGCTTTACTCTGGCTGCCAGGTCATTCAGGAGTACCTGTTAATGAGACATCTGACCATTTGGCCAGAATTGGCTCAGACCAGGCATTCCTCGGTCCGCAACCAGTTTTAGCACACCTACTTTCGGCCATCGAATCAACCATCAGAAAGTGGGTGAATATTTCGCTCAGCAATGACTGGAAGGTATCGAGCGGATGCAGGTGGGCAAAACTGATGTTGGCCTCAATCTCAGAAGGTCTATCTAGTTGTTTGCTCTCACTAAGGAATTTTCACTCGAAGAACAATTTGGGAACTAAAATATTCCCTGATTTATTCGCAAAGAATGGAAACAATAACAAAATTTGTCTCATAACGTTGCATTAGTTTGAAATATTTGAATATTAAAATTAATGAAAAAAGAACTGAAATATAATTATGCAAATAAAGTAAACGAAAGACTTAAGACACGAACTTATCTTGTACAAAAAATGGAAAATTGTGCCATAAATGGATAGTTCACCCTAATGATGAACGACCTGGAAGTTTAAATGATCCAGTTTTCCTCTAGCTTAGAATAAATAATCGTGGTTCTCACTAAAGTGTTTTTTCCTCCCGCGACGCAGGCGTCTCTCTCATTCTTAACGTTAAGTTCTCAAAACTTTTGTTCTCTAGCAGAACATTCCCCAGACTTTGTTCTTATTTCAACCTCCTTGAAAACAATATCGAGTTTTTCGTTCTTATTTTGTTCTCATTGGAAATGTTCGCTAAAGTTTCGTTCTCATTCGGTTCTTCTTGAGAACGTTCCCGTGAGTTTTATTCGCGTTTTGTACTTTACAGAAACGTTCCCATACCGTTTTTTCTCATTTTGTTTCCGTTCAAACTGCTCTCAAAACTTTTGTCCCATTGGCTCTTATGTGGGAACGTTCTAGACATTGCATTTTGTTTTCGTGCAGAACTAAACCAAATCAAATTCCCTCAAGCCATACTAACTAAAAAGAAGAAGATTGTTGGAATGCCCTGGCACTGCCAAATGTGTTCCTAAAAGAGTAAGCATCATGTCGGACATCCAGACAGCATTACGAGCTTTAGACACACATAAAAAAGGTATCAAGGCCAAGCAACAATTTAAAAAGTTTACTAGACAAATTTGCAACGCCTGACAGGGGGTTCCAGGTGAAAATCGGGAAGCAACGAAAGGGTGTCTGCTCTCGTGAAATGCAAAGCTTTTAAAAAGTTGAGAGAACGCTGAAGTTGCAGTAAGACAAAATATCGTCAATGTTTTTGCAAAACCGCCCATCGACCTAAATCGCCATTGTGACAAAAATGATATTTGGTAACCCTGAACTCCAGGCATCGAGATTTATGCATAAGAATCGTAAAATCGTTTTTAAAACAACAGATTTGTAAAATAATAGCTAGAGAAAATATCGCCTATCAAGGCAATGCTTTTAAAGAAAAAACGTTTTTTCGCTCTCCTGTAAAATTTGAGTGTCGTAAGATAGGCGGTTTTGCAATTGGTCGATTGGCGGTTTTGAACGACTCTTTAACGTTAATTGGGAGGTTCTAAGAAAAGTCATGGACATTTGATCGTTGTAAAATGGCACCTTCTGAGCTTACATATACTACTATGTGATTGCCCACTTATAAGTTGTATTGCACTTATTCAACTTGGAGAAGGAATGTCGTTTCTATAAAGAATCTGGAATAAGACTTTCTACAAAGTACTAAACCTTACAAATAGTCTAAGGCCGGAGTGACCTTTATAGGATTAACACCGTAGATCTAGCTAGCACTTATTCGTGCCAATGACCATCGGAAATGCCAAATGATTCCAAGATCCTACCTACCTACCAGGCCTTTCCATAACAGAGTATATCGTTCCCTTTCACCACAACCACCAGTTTTTTATGCATATTTTGCATTTTAACTATCGGCCATTATTTAAAAGTCACGGTCGTGGAGGTGATATATTTTTTCTTTGCGGCGTCGTAACATTCCTCATCGTAGCAGTTATTCATATGTATTGGTTTTTTGAAGATTGCTCTCAAAGGTAGAGTTTGGAAAAAATAGTAGGGAAGCTGCTGGTTGTTCTTGCGTTACTAAATGATTAATATATTCTGTCACACAAAGTGTTTTATTTTCTATTACATATTGCAATATGAAGTTGTAGTGATTAAGTGAATGTATTTATGTAGTTTATAGCAAAACAGAATCATGTTACCTTGATAATTTTAAAATTCCATTATTTAACCACTCTTTTTTTTCATTACAGATATTTCTTATTCTGGTGGTGAATTGTGCGCTACAAATAGAAGCACAGCAGCCACGCGAACCGAGATTGGGCTCCAGGTGCCAACATGATATGGATTGCACGGATTTCATTAAGGGTAGCGCCTGTTCGGCGAGTGGCTATTGCGAGTGTGCACCCTACTATGTGCAATACAATGCCACCAGCTGTCTATCATGTAAGTACCCAGGCTAACAGGTTAATAACTATTTATGCACAAGCAAATATTTATACATACCTACTTAAGTAAACACATGCGCTTTAAGTGGCCAACAACACTTGACCCCTCTAATGGCAGCTAGGCAGCCAGCCACAAAATCAGTCAAGCAGTCAATCATACGCACATACGCACACACTCGCATGCATCATACATATGTACATATGTAAGTGCATTTGAGCACACGCTTCAAGCCATGCATTTCTAAAGCATTTCCGAAGCTGACATCAAAAAGCCAATCAAACAGCAAATGCAGTCGCATAGAAATACAAATGTATGTACATATGTATGTATGTATGAAATGCCAGTGGATGTTGCATGGCCATGCCGCTGTTGCTAGGCCTAATGTGGCAAATATTTATTTTTTCTACCTCTGAGTAGTCAATGTAAATCATGCAGCAGGAATATGTGTATGTAGATACACAACTACATATACATATTTACATATGTACAGACGTATGTAAGCACTCAAGTGCATGCAATATTATGACTTTTTCCCATTCATAGTAAGCTACCTGTGCAACACATGCATACAACATAAACACATATATATGTATATGGATGCATTCAGCTGATATGTAACAAAAATGTGTTTAAACATACATACATACATACATGCATACATCAACGAATAATGTACACCACTTGGCGTGTGTCCTCAATTTTCATGCAGCAATGAAGAAATGTTGCAGCAACATCGCTTACATTCATCCATTGCATTCGTGCGTTCGATGTTGTCGATTGTTGCATTTTTGTCAGTGATGCGATTATTGTTGCTGTTATTGTTGTCTTTGACTTTGGTCTTTGGCAGCAGCATCAGCGAATTCCTTGATCGGATGACATTCGCGTAGTTTTCGTTTCTGATTGTTGTTTGTATCTGATTGCCAGAAAAGGCGTACTTTGTTTACCTGTACATGGACGGGTATTTGACCCGTTTTTTTTTGTTTTTTTGTTTTTTAGTTTGCTTGCAACAGCCACACTAACAGTTACAGCTGCAGCAACAGTAAGACGATTAATGATGATTGTCAGTGTACATAACTACCGAACGGTGGCTTCACTATCTTCTTGATATTAATGATGCAGCTGTATGTAGTTTTTGTTAACATGCAGAAATCCATATGATATTATTGAATATAAAAATAAATAAAAAAATCTTTGCCATGAGAATAATAGCCCATTTCCACCAAAAGCTTGAATGCAATTAAAAGCTCAGCTCAGTTTCCAAGAATTTGAACATGGGGTGATGGGAAAGGTTTATTTCTCACTTTTTTGCTTTTTGTCTTTGGTTTGCTTATTAATTATAATGAGCGATTACATCCTTCGAGTTGTAATCTCATTTTACAATAGTTAGGCATACATTACCGTTAAGGCTTGGTGGAAATGAACTATAACTCTCTAAAGTTGTAAGTGAAGTTAAGACTTTCTTTTTGAGCATTTGATACATTCTTCTACGGATTTGTTAAATATGCTCAACACAGTTATTTATATCTATTTATATATATATATGTATACATATGTATGTATATGTAAATATGGTACATGCACACATATTGAAAATGTTTGCATTGAAGAAAAATTCACAAATATTTATATACATACACATACACATGTTTACTTTGATTGTTAGCATAGCTGTTGTTTCGTTAGATTCTTTGCTCTCAGATCCAACAATGTTGCATTGCTGTCATTCCAAGTTGGCCCTCGGAGTTTTGCTTTTCTTTCCCCCCTATTTGTCAAAGGCACATGTGTGATTTTCTCACTGACCGTGCACATAAATAGTATATGTATGTATGTATGTTGCTTTTCTTGTCGTCAAGCGTACACATTCATAAGTTGCGTGTTGCATGCAATTCGAGTGCATCTAGCCTCCATACAGCATCTAGCGGAAAGCGTGGCTGACACACCTTTGTGGGCACTACCAAAATTTCTATTTACTTTCGAAATGTTTCTCAACACACTTTAAATGCAATGTGTTTGCTACATGGCCAGCATCTATGTGCTTCTAGCATTTGCATATACACACCCTGCGCGACAAGAGACTAGTTAGATGTGAACCAAAATATCACCTGTTCGATTTTTAGTTCAACCGTTTCGTTTTCCATCCTTTTTCCATGCTAGCGATTGGTATTTTTAATATGGCGATTTCCAAGGAAATGTCAGTTGTTTGGCTATGCATCAGCAACTACTGTAGCATCCTACGAGTTGGCGGGGTGGGCGCAATGGCCGACAGAGCAAAGCACTGGTTTGGATCCTCGGGGAGCAGATTTTTTTTTCCAAGTACTTTTTTTAGGTTTTTTACTTTATGTTTTTCATTGTAATTTCGAAAATAGTTTTCTTTTTATTTATTTTTTTTCATTTTAATGGAATTACATACGTATTTAGGTTTTTCTCCAAATAAAATTATCCAAATTTACCAAATTGTAATTTATAGTTAAATTGAAACACTACAAGAGGATTCGAACCTGCCATCTCAGAACTATAGCAGTAGTCTTCGGGCGATCCCACAGCCGACATTTGTGAAGAAAGCAATTAACAGAGTTTCAGTTTGGCTTTGGCAATTCAAAGGCAGATGTCGCTGATCGCATAAGTGGTTCGAAATTGTCGAACTGGTAGGCCACCACTTTAGCGAATATCAGTTAATTAACTGGTATTTTTTACCAATACCAATACGTACATACATACGTATGTATGTATATATGTATAATACATAAGGTGATTAATTTTAGTATGTATGTATGTGGTCACATTCTGGGTATCACATTACTTTTTCATGTTTAATCTTTTAATAAACACCATTCATTAATTATTGCTTGATATTTTTGTTCACTTTTTCTATTTCTTACAGCACAACTTCTGGGTGGCGACTGCGTTCTGAATGACCAATGCACAATGAAGGTGGCCAACAGCAGCTGCTTGGATGGCGCCTGTCGCTGTGTTGAGGGTTTCCTGCAGTTCCGCAAGCATACCTGTCTTGGACGTAAGTATGCAGAGAATGCTAAACATCATTCGAATATCATATCCAACTACTAGAGTACAAAAAAGCAGAGCAGAATATTGATAGTACATATACATATTTAGTTTTTTTTTCTTAACAAAAATTTTTACATTTGGTGGAATCTATTCAAATCTATTCTACAAGAGATTTTGTTGTATTTTGTTGTTAACTAATAAATTTAGTTTTGGCAACGAAAATTGCATACTTATTTTGTCGTCACTACTTTTACTACGAAACTCTGCTATGGATCTCATAACCAAAACAAAAATTGACTGAACTAAGGACGGCTGATCGTTTTTTATGAGAAATTTTTTTATGACTGAAATACATTTCGGTGTTTTCCATTGTCTGCCGAGGAATCACCCCGAATAGAGAAAGATTTTTAGATGTTGGTAGGATCAGGAAACGAACCTGGGTCCTTTGCTAGTACACACCTCTCACCACGCGGTCGCAAGCCTTAGAACAGTCCTTACAGTGTTGGCCTTCCCAAGCCCCCTCGTTCCGTAAAAACAACTTATATATTTCTTATGAAAATAATGTGACCACTCTAGCCTGTTTACCTCATTTAAAAACCTATCTGCAATATTCTGAATTAACGTAAGCCTGCTTAATTTTATTGGGTTTTAGAAATTGCCGGATATTATAAATTATATTAGATTATTTTTCGGAGAAGGCTAACTAGTTTCCGACAACGATTTATAGTAACAAACCTCTTTGTGGTTGCAAGTCCTCTTTGAATCAAGTATCGTTAAGGAAACTCACGTGCTTTTTGAATGTCGATATAGGTCATGTGCTTTAAGGCACATTGCTCTTAGAAACCGAAATCCGTGCCTGAGTAATAAGCACATCACAGTAGAACTTAATATGCTCTGCCGTTTCCTACACAACCTGCACTCACGTTTTTGCCAACTACTTCATTCCCTTGCTCAGTAATTAAGCGCTTGTTTCGTCCTCTAGATGTAGTAATTTTACCCAACGGAGCACAATGCTACAACGATGAAGGGTCCTGGGCCTATGAATCCCTGCTCAGCCTCTTTCCCTGCCGTGATTGTCTGTCACTTCATGAGCTAAACCCAGTTTTTGGATGTGATCAGTGTTTAGAGAGGAATTCTACACCAGTTTTGACGGGACCTCGTAAGTTTTCAAAGCAAAAAGGGCCGCCTCGCTATCAGAGTATACTATGTAGACGCAGGTGGATGTGTTGTTCTTTCAAGTAACAACACTGATGGCAAAACTAATAGAAGAAGATTTTGTGCGTTTGTTTAAGTTTTAAAAAGTTTATCGCTTCTACTTAACATACTCAAAATGTGATTGAAAGCTTGATAAACTTTCCAATACTGCGAGCATAGGTCTGAACACCACTGGCTTCTTTGCGCAAGTGCTTTCGTATTCAATTAGGTTTAATTGGGGAAAAACGAGAGCAAAAAAGGCGAAACGGGCCAACTGGTTATGACATATGTGCTAAAAATGCGATAAAAAAAAAATGCATTTGTGAACCCGCAAATTAAAAATACCACCACCACTCGTGTTGTAAACGCCTCAAGCAATTTCTGACATTTCTGTAACTATCACTGTTATTTTATTACAATCAAAAATGGAGCTAAGTAAGAAATTGCGTGTTTCACGCATGCGCCATTGTAGTGCTATCAAATTACCTACCAGCAGCAGCGATGTGAAGTGTGGCAAAAGGTGTGTGGAATAGACGCGAAAAAAACGAGCAAAAAAAACAGAAAGTTAATTATTTTATGAGAGGGCTTACATATATGCATATGTACATATATTTTATGTATGGAAGCTCGAATGTGTAACTGCATCCATATGTATGCATATGTTTGTATGTCAGTGCTAAAAAGCGATTTTACACAAATTATGCAGCTAATAGGTTAATTTATCCCAAAAATTCTTTAGAAATAATAACAATTTAAAGAGTATTAACATATAAAAATACCAAAACACTTTCCTGCAAATCAGCCACGATCGCTACAGGTAATAAAAAAGACTCACTCATACATATGTACATGCATCCATCACTCCTTTTACTTGGCTTCTGATCAAGTCAAGCAGCTGATGTCACACAATCCATTCTTGCAACTGAAGTAGGTGTTAACACTCAATTGATAGAGATCACGATTGAAAGTGGCGATAGTGTCATAACAAAGATACACTCGCAGACATGAATATACTTACAACTGTTTTATTGTTTTTGTTTCCTTTCCTTTTTTAATGTAGTTCATAGTTAAGTTGAAGCACTTTGAAGGGCGCTAAGCATTTAGATGAGAGCAAAAATCATAAAAAATACGTGAAAAGCAATAATTTAAGTTACTAGTTCGTGTTTACCTTTCTCTCTTTATAACGACAAAAAATTTTAATTGGTTTCGTACTGCTTGTTTTTCTAGTTTAATTTTTCCTACAGAGGTCGTTAGTAAGCATACTTTCGCAGAAGCTCTTGTTCTCCAAACGAGTGTAGTGCGGCGCCAGTCAACAGCTTCCAATAGCATAATCGGATTAAAAATCTTGAGAGTTAAGTGAGGGTAATGTATGTATATTAAGGTTGTCCTGAAAAGAGTAAAGTCGCAATTTTAATGTTCCCCTAGAATTCATATCGTAAAAAGTGTACCCGTATTTATCAATAAATATTTAGATGTGGCTCAAAGCGCTCAAAGTTTTCCATGAATTTTATGTGGGAAAAAAAACACATTTTCGTAGAAATGGCATAGAATTCTTGAAACACAATATTTTTCGATCGGAATACTCAGGTTGTTATCAGGGGACTACCAATAGTAATACCAAATTATTTATTTGACCATTTTTTAATACTACCAATTTTTTATGGTCCCCCATTGCATTTTTCGGGGTTTTTGGCGGACCTATAAACTATAGTTACTATGAAAAAATGGAATGAATTGAAACCGAGTTTTCCGATCGAAAAATATTGATTTTTAAGAATTTTATACCAATTCTACGAAGAGTAGTTTTTTCCCTATATAAAGTAAATGGAAAACTTTGTGCGCTATGAGCGACTTCTAAATATTGTTTGATTTCAAAATAAAAAATAAGGGTATATTTTTTCGGTATAGAAGAATCCTAGGAGGTGAGAACATAAAAACTTCGACTTTACTTTTTCACATGCATTTTTGGACCCCCTAATGTACATACATATGATCGTAAAGCAAGTGGGTGTGTATATCAGCATATGTACATAGAATAGTGAACACAGGTTGTAGTGGAAACTCATTAGATGGGATTTAAATAGTGCTTTATATTAAATAAAAAATTGCTATCTTTTGGAATTACTTCAATTTTGTGGTATACAGATACACCGCACCAGAAAAAAATATCGCCTTACAGCTTCGAATCTAAAGTATTTTTGCAAGGCAATTTCAAACTATTTTGTTTCCGTTTACATTCTTCGTCATATATACGGCTTTTACAGTCGCATCTCAAAGCGAGATATGTCGATGTTCTTGCCTTCGAGGAGACAATTTCTCTTATTCCAAAGTTCATTGACCTCAAGTAACAAGTTATAGTAGAAACTTACCCATCAATGCGCAGTTCTTATCTACCTAACGTACCACCCTAATGTCGGTAAATTAAAGCTCGCCAAAAAGCAATAAACTTTTTCTTTTGATTATTCCGCCGTAAAAAGGAGGAAGTTGCTTTTCTGCTCCTTAGGCTACTTTAAAATCGTTGAATAGTTGGGGACTCTCGACGAGATCGGTGAGATTTGTTGGATGTTAAATACCCGGTCTTTAGTGGATTTACGAGGACTAAAGGCACGCTGAAATTACTCAATCAGTTCGTTGACGGTGCCAGTTAACCATTCACACAATGCGCTAAATAAAACCTTATAGTTGACGCTCAGAAGACTAATATCTTGAGAATCGCCATGCTTGAACCCACTTAAATTCTAATCGTCGGTCATACTTTAATCTGACCGTGTTCTGCATAAAGGCTGATGCGTGCACCTTGTCAGCTCCAGCAGCGTGGTTGTTTTTCAGTAGCGAAATTGCTCTTCGTACCTACGTTCGTCATAGTGGGGTAGCGGCGCATCTACTACATTGTCCCTCTCACTTCTCTCTTCAGCTCACTATATCGTCCCACATAGTCCGCGATGTGTCAGATCACTGAGCGGCACGACATTCTCCGTCATATCGGTTTTTCGTTCAGGATCTTTATAATCTGATGCGATTGCCTATCGCGACTGCAAGATAGACTGTGGTCCAAGTCAATATTTGGTCCACGAGCCTTCACTTCACTTACGAAACGCTGAAAACGTGCCATCCGTCTATCAGAACTTGATCGAATTGTTTTCTGATCTAGAGAAGCTCATGCAGCCTCATAGATTGTTTAGGTTAGACCTTAGTGCTCCGGTGGTGGAGCTGAAGCCAGTAACTACTACTTTATTGTACTTTCTACTTTCGAATTCTTAAAAAAAAAAAAAACAATCTTTTAGGTACCTCTATCCTTTTTCTATCGTGTTTGTAGCAGCCATAAATTAAACTAAAAAAGTAGAGTCGGATGCTTAAGCAGAAAACGAAGCCCAAAAATACGCACCACTTAACTACAAGCAAAGTAAATAAATTTGTATACATTTTGTTTATAGTTCTGGGGTACACATTTTAAGGGTTCATTTTCTGCAGTCTAGCAATGAGGTACCCAAAAATATATGAAAAAAAAAACTAAAATTAGTTACACAAAACCTTAGTTTTCTCCACTTTACTAAAAAAAAAGTTACTTGGTTCTGTTCTATAACAGGCGGAGTTTTATGTTTCAAGGCCAGTCGATCAACAGCAGTGTGATATCAGCTGTTTCGTCATGAAGGCTGAAAATTCCGATGGTGGGCGAAAAATCCTTTCTTTGCCTAGCCTGCAATTTAAATTGCCGGCCGTGATTTTAGTAATGGTGATGGGAGAAGCGAACGTTAAACACATCATTATTTTCTTCCGTGACGACGTGGACGCAAATGAGCGATAAGTTGACGA